TACGTAGATGTGGTCTCGTCATCTCTGGTGCAGCGTTATACCAGCGTCAGCTGCTTGAGAGAGCAGGATTAGCGATCAGCAACCAAGAATTTCAGCCACGAAAACTTGAAGCACATCGAAGATTCCAAAGGGAGATGGAGGAAGGGGAATAGGAATCGATTCGCTGTTGTCGTTGATGCATAATTTGACGGTGTAACATGTATACTTCTTTGATTCTATGCCAACCGCAGTTTTCAATCGTAGAGTTAGTTGTTAAATGTGTGCTCTCCCCTCTTAATCTCTGCTGTATTTTATTGTTTCTTTTTTTGCAATATGTAGTCCTATCTAGTAGGCAGTGTAGTTATCATTTCTTGTTTTATTATTATTACCTTTTGTTACTAGTATCAATTTTGTGCTTCGGTAGATGTGTACATATGTAGTAACCAATCTGTTTCCTTTTGAACACACTCCTGTAAGAGCCTCTTAAGTCTTACTATATGAATAAATAAATAAAATAAAATCTAGGTAGGTGATATTGAGCTCTAATTAGAGCTTCAGGAATATGAACCAACTAGACCCAAATCGGTTTACTTTAGGGACGGGAATAGACGGCAGCCGAGAACGCGAGCCGTGGATTCACGTGCCTCTGCCAATTTTTCGGGTCGCCAATTTTAAAGCTTTCTTGTAGCTGGGATGTGCGCCTCCGACTTTTTTGACACACAGGGCGTGGTCACCCGTTATTGCGATTTTAGAGGGAGTTCTGTATGCCTTGTGCTATTACCGCAGTGCTTGCGTTGAATCTATAGACCGCACAAAAGTAATTTTGCTTGCGGCAGCAGCCACGTTTGCAAAAGGTATGAATTGCAAGCTAGAAGAACCAAGAGAGGAGCTACTTGAAGTAACAACTGTGACTATTCGCGCTCGTCATGTGTATTTTTGTGCGTTCTTTTCGGGTGTCTTACCTTGTCTTTGAACAGCACGCAACAAGTTTCTATCTGCTTGCCATTCTTCCTGTGACATTCCAAAATCTTGCTCCCGCATTCATTGCTTCACCCTTGAGTGACGTTTATACAAGTGAAAACAAGAAAATATCACTTTCTCAATGTAAAAACCCCTTCTTGGCTGCATTGAGGGTATTTTTACGCAGGCATTTTTAACGTAACGATGGGAACTACTGCGCACCTAGGCAGAATAATGCAAGGACACCCAGGGACACTAATTTATTGTTTTACTAACGAAGGGTTTGAAAGCGTCTTTCTGAAGGGCGCAGAAAACAAAAAATATGGGACGTGGAGTTCACATGGTTTCAATGTAGCTAATACCTGATACATCATAGTTTTTTTTTTTCAAGGCTGCATTGATATAGAGAGCTACAGGTGTGGTATTCAAAAGCAAAGAAACTTAGTGTTGAAACAAGTGCATCAATGATAATAGAGAAAATCGAACCGCCAATTTCTATACATCGCTTTCATCGAGGACGACTTCTTCACACTTCGTATGGGCGAGCATAATTACTGCCTGCGAAGGAGGGTTATATCCTTTCGTGGTACGCTTCCCCCCAACCCTCCTCGCAAGCAGGCTCTTATGCGCAGAGATGATTTATAGCACCCGGTCAGCTGACATGCAAAAAGGTTAACCACCAGTGGCGGTTGTAGCTGGTTACCTTGCCCAGACTGAAGGTAAAAACGGCTCTGAAGAAAAGAAAAAAAAAGTAATATAATGGAGCTAGAGATTGTATGTAATACCACCAGTTACTCGTACAGTATTGAACATCTGAGAAGCACGTTTGCAGCTCTCCGTTACTACACTGATCGCAACCTTTGTCCAATAAAGTGTACTTAATCATGCACCAGCGAGCCGGTACAATACAGACACATAAATCTATAGTCCCTGGCTCAGGGGTCACAGGTGGAGATCCCAGTCAATACAGCAAAGAAGCTATTGCAACGCCGAGTCACGTATGGCACAGAATGATTTGTTCACGCCGTAATGGAGCCAGAGAGAAGAAAGAGCTTCGAACAAAGGGCGGTCAACCAAGGGTCCCAAATGGCTGAACACATTCTACGGCCACGTGATCTACAAATATTCCTGCGGTAGGCAAAAAAAAAAAACCCTGCCGCTTCATTATTCTTTGGAAGAGAAAGTGAAACGCAACAACTCATATTGAAAACGGCAAAAGTTATTTACGGGTTACCATTAGTTAAGCACGTTCTGCCTTCTTTTGAAGGTATACGTGGCGGCTATTACACCCAAGTTTCACCGACAAAGAAATCTTCACTGCATAGGTAAAATACTGCAGCTCATAAATCCTTTTTGGATGGGCATGCGCACAACCAAGAGCTTCACTGACTGTCTTTCAGTGTGGCTTAGCGACTACATCCCCTCACAATAAAAGTGACAGGCTGTCGTTTAGTGCAGAATATTTTAGTTTAAGAAATGATCTAAGGCAGCGGTGAGTTCTTATAAAGACTTGATGGGATGTTGAAAGATCTCGCTAAACCATCATTTCCTTACCTGTCGAGAAGAGGTTGTGAGTGGCATGCTTTATTTGTTTTGTCGCAGTTGATGCAGCAGTCGTTGTAGCTGTACTTGTACGCTGCCACAGAAAATCAACTATAGTTACGACTTATCGAGAAGCTTACAGAGACCTATCTGCTGGTCTAGTGGCCTAGCGTCTTTTTGAGTTGGTATAGAAAAGAAATGCCTCGCAGTAGATACTGTGAAGAGAGCGTTGCGAAGCGTGCTGGCATTGTGGCGTTGCTTCCAGCAGTGATGACGGCTGGGATGGTGACGATTGCGCATGCCAACGGACACAATACATTTGAGCATCAGGTATATAGGGATGCGCGTGAACGAATGATTGAAAGGACAGTCATTTGTGTTACGTAAGCATTGCGTCATTTCACAAACAAGGCTCCACAACAGGTTTCTCTTTCTTGTGCCCTTTTCTATACGCAGACAATTGTCCTAGAGCGAGGGAGCACTGGTTTCCAGCGTGTTTCCTGATTATGCAGCCAGGATTGCTGCACGCTGGGAAATTCCGTGCGGGGAACTGAGTTTCACGCTCTGTGTGAAACTGTTCTAGGCTGGTAGAACATTCGATGACGCTCAACGCTTTCTTGTAAATTTTATCATCACTTTGTGTTGGTAAAGACCTTGCGAACTAAATCGACAAAGCCAACAGAAATTTAAGCCAGTTACACCCTTAGTGAAATCTGTGGGAACTGCCGAGCACTAATTCATCTGTATTTCCCTTGTCTTCATTTTGTGTGTTTTTTTTTGCTCTTTGTTGTTGTTCTGTGTTCTTTTTACGTATTTATATGCTCTTTTCTGGCACTAGCGTTCAAAACGTGCAATCTGGTTGGCTTATGTGTATCAAACGTTAGATGTGCGTGACGCCAGTGGGAAACACGGGACTGCTCAACTCCCGACGCTGTTACCTCGCTGCTTTGGACAGCTGAATGAACCTTTTGGTGACGCTGGCGTTCACGGAGAAGCGCGCGCTTGCGTTCCAAACACGCAGCCTTGTCGGCTTGAGTATATCGAACGAGGTGCCTACGTGACGCCAACGTGAAACGTGAAACCATGCCACTGGGAACACTGAAACTGCTCCGCAGATTAAAAAAAAAAAAAAAAGGGAGGTGAGCTGTAATTCCGGAATCGCCAAGCCGGGACGCATTTTTGTGGTAGAAAGTTTTGTTGGCAATATTTCGTGTCAGAAAGAGTTCTGAACTTCATAAAGCACTTATGCTGCTGGCTAGGCGCCATCAATGTATGACACCAGGAATGTCGCTGGTATCTTACGTGAAATTTTAGCGTAATAACGAACGTCTTCTTGTCAATGTGGCCCAGGCACATTATGTTATCTCAAGGTGACCTGCTTGGTGGGTGGTCTACTGTCAATTAAAAGTGACACGCTGTCACTTCTTATAAAACTGTCACCTAATTAAGCTTCCTGTCCGTTTATAATTGATTTAGCCTACACATGTAATTAGGATAAGAACATTGTTTCTCTCAGGCACGATTATATGGTCTTTCGATTGACATCAATTAAGCATTCGTATCATACTTACGGGCATGCTGCACGCCATCGCTACCCAGTGGTTGCAGCACTGTGGCGCTTAGGTCATGAGATAAATGCGGACCCACAGCCGACTCATTTCAATGCACGCGAATCGCAAAAACGCTTGTGGGCAAATTGAAAAAAAAAATATTCACTTCATGCTCTAAGCGCTAGTTACATAAGGTAAATGTTTTTATATCTTATATATGAAGTCATCACTATTTTATCCGCATGCAGGTAAAATACGCCGTGAATATTAAGTTGACGATAATTGTAGAAGTGCAAGCACTAAGATAATATTGAACGAATGTTTGCCTCAATGAGTGCGAATTTTTAGGAAACAAACAATAAGTAATTGTTTTGCCATGTGGCGTTGACCATATCAAGCCGTGCATTGAACTTAAGAACATACTACCCACGAACATTTTAATATTGTCATTGTTCCTGCTTTCATACCTGATTGATTGATATGTGGGGTTTAACGTCGCAAAACCACCATATGACTATGAAAGACGCCGTAGTGGAGGGCTCCGGAAATTTTTACCACCTGTGGTTCCTTAACGTGCACCCAAATCTGAACACACGGGCCTACAACATTTCCGCCTCCATCGGAAATGCAGCCGCCGCAGCCGGTATTCGATCCCGCGACCTGCGGTTCAGCAGCCGAGTACCTTAGCCACTAGACCACCACGGCGGGGTTCATCGATGTTCCCTATGTTCGTCAATGTTACCATGTTCACAGTGCAGGCTCACAGTGCCGGCATTGACGTTATTTCAGAAACCATGTCACCTAGTTCAAACAAAGGGATACATATTCGGTATCTTGCTGCCTTGATAGCTCAAAGCAATGTAAACATACGCGCACGCAGTCACACTCTTATCGGCCTTGGTTCAATCTCTTATCCATCCACCAAGGCACACTTCCAGTGCCATTGAAAAAGTTGCACTCCACACAAAATTTCCACAACCAAGACATTTTTAACGAAACGTTTTATGCAAGCAAAATATACAATACAGCTTCTTGCAGTATGTGGGCAATGTATATTTGATCCTAGTAGCCATGCACGTGACCATAAGAGTATACCAGAACACCAGGCATCGCTCCAAGCAACGTCGCCGCTTATTTCAAGATGATAAGAATGAAGTGAGGATGCATTGTAGCACAGATGCCATTTGAATACTTCCTCCCCGCGCTAAAAGCCTCATCGAGCCAAGCCCTTCACCAGAAGTTGGTACATTTGAGCCAAAGTCCAGAGCCCATCACCTTTCAATAAAAACAATATATACACTGTGGTTTGTTAGCGCTAAAAGAAACTAGGTACGCAGAGCACCGCAGAACGCAGAAAATGAAGCCGATAGCATTTGAAACGGAACTGACGTTGTCGACGTACCTTCTATCAATAAGAAAAATGTATATACATGTGACTGCAGGCGGGCGATAAGAGGGAGACATAGCAGAATAGGAACAATTGTGCAATGAAGAAAGTGTGGGAAGTTCGAGATGATGACGTCACACTACAGTGTTTCTGTCGGAGGGGGAAGACGCACCGGTGAGCGAAAGCCAATGTCTAAGCACCGAACTGCTTGAAGTCGTCGCAGAACTAGGCCCGCCTATCCGATTCGGCCAATGTCTTCTGTCCGTCGAAAAGATAGGGAGGTGAGCCTGCAGGCTTCTAAAGGGATTATGATTGGCCGTTGCAGTCCGTCGTGGAAAAGTGTCATTGCGGCGAGGATTAATAGCCCGTCGTGGCCCCAGAGAAGCTGAAACCAGCTAATATTAAAGTCATACTACATCTAACGACACGGGGGGGGAAGGGATTTAAATGGTTGGCGTGAGCTTTCCTAGAATGGTCTGCGGCCGGGTGGTGGAGCCCCCGCGCCACCTCCCTCTCCGAAGCCCGGTATGAGCGGAGCCGCCTTCTGCACGTCAGCTTCGGTGAGGAACGGTGCCGTCGGGTTGCCGATGTTGTCGTTCACGTAGAAGAAGTCGGGAGCGTTCTGGCACGGCACGGCCTCCTCGGCGAAGGCGCACGTCAGGCTCAGCTGGTTGAAGACAGTCTGGTTGCCGCATAGGAAGCTGTACTGCTGCACCTCGGTACTGCCGTCTTCTTTCGGCACTACGTTGCATACGTGGAAGATGAGGCAGGCGTTGTCTACATCCGCGAAGTAACCGTTCTTAGCCGGGCATTGAAACGAGGTCTTCACACCACCCAAGAGCAATTCTGCGCCATCGGGCAGCTCATACGCTGCTCGTTTTGCCTGAAATGGTGAAAGCGGGTGAGGTCAGGTAGTTGCTGTAAGGTGTAAAGAATTGCCATGCAGCTCGGAAACTGTGATATAACTGACCAGTTATTTTAATCTACGTGAGGTTGTGCAAGCTGGTCAAGGCTAGTTTTCTTGTTCGGTAGTGTTAAGTACCAGTATCATTCTGATTTAACAATATCGTGATTTATTTTACGTCTTCGCCATTTCTTAAATAGCTTTCCTTTTTTACACAAATGTGGAAAAATGTATCATTATGATTAGTGATTATCTGATTTCACTGTATTTTTCTTTTTATTACATCGATGTAAAAATAAGCTATCAATGGAACAATAGAGGGGGGGCAAGGGAAGAGAAGGCATTAAGCTCCTATGGCTTGTAGTGCTGGTGCAAAAAAGTTTCTTTGTTATGTTATTTCCTTGTTAGCAGTTTCCTTGTTATCTTATAACCATTATGTTATTGGATGATTAAAGCTGCGACCCATTTGTGGGGGCTTGGGAAGTAACTGGAACTAATCACTGCTGTGATAAGCTCCCATTATCTCGTTTCCTTTTTGTAATGAATGCGTTGAATGTACGTGCACATGAGCGCTCTCGCATAAGCATTAGGGTACTTTATACCACTTACCCTTGGCAGTGCCAGCGCAACGGTCATTACAGCAAAAGCTGAAAGAAGGACATAGAGGGAGAGACTCAGACAAAGCGCTATGAAAACTGGAGAATTTTAAAGTTGTTTAAATTACTTTAAATACGTATATGTAACTACACGTGAATGTCAAGCTACAAGTAGTTTTTGTGTTAGGCAGTATTTTTGAAGTTTCATTTACGAGCCAAGATAATGTCTTCAACAGACTCTTGCAGAGCCCAGCATCGGGGCGTGTTCAAAGTGCTCGTGAGAAGTCCCTTTTAAACTGTGTTAGCATGAAGACACCAAACCCTGTTTTCTTTTCTTTTTTCTTAAATATCTCTGAGTGATAAAGGTAAAAAATTGATGTTCTGTTTTATTACTTAGCAAATATTTTTACTGCTAACAAAAAAGTCTGAACTTACCTAGTAGGAGCTTCATTTTGTCCTATAACCAAAAGAAAGATAATAAAATCAGTACAGGGTGAACTGTACATGCAATACCGGCTCGTACTGGGGAGAAGAGCACAGTGTCAGTGAATTGTACATAGATCTATAGGGACTGACGCTCTCATTTAACTCAACTAATAATTCTTAATGAGCACCTCGATGTAACAATGGGAGTATTTCCATTCATAAAAATGCCCCCATTCCACATAGTCTATACTATAGGACAATAGAAAAAATTGTAATTTTAGGGTGCGAAATTTCTGCAAAAGTTTAGGAAACTTGGGAAGTAAATAAAAGTGAACCGTCAAGGGTACAAATGTGTTACTTTGTATCAAAAAAATTAATATGTAACATTTCTGTTGATGGCGTCTGTTGAAATCCCTAAAACGGGAAAATGTATTTAATATTTTTAAAACTCACACGAGATGTTTACTATGTTTCCGAATGTTTCGTAAAAGGGCAGTGTACAAATTAAAGACATAATTCTGAGCGGCGTGAAATTTTTCAGTTTTGTTAGCGCTGTGTACTATTAGGAGAAATTCGCAGCATTATGATATCATTTTTTAATATTGAGTAATGCAGCTCTAAACATTCTTGTTTATTTTTTTCCAAATTATTCTATTTTCAAGATTTTTCGATAAAATTTGACTGTATAATTTTATATTTGTTAGCCACTGTTACAACGTCATTAAGCCTTTGTTTAAATTAAGAAAGTTAACTAAAATAGGTGCACTAGCTTCTCATAAACAACGTTTCTCCACTGACACTTATTATGGCTGGAGTACTTCGGCTAAATCACCCACATAAATATGAAAATGTAGTTGCGTAGTAACTAAAATGGGTTTCGACTGTACCTAACTTTTTATTTATTATGCGAAATTTGAGATGTACTAGGAAATATTTGGATCTACCCACGACTCTCCGTAGCGTGAGAGGCGTGTTATTCTGCAATGTTTTGATGATGTAAAAGAAAAAAAAAGATTAACCATGACGTAGCGAGCTCTTCGCTTCATTAGTATTTGAACTTGAGCCGTAAAAGTTAATTGTAATGAGGTATACTATCATACCAACAGTCTAGTTGTGACCTAGGTAATGTCCATTAAGCTCAGGAAAGCACACCTGTGATAGGGCACTTGAGATATTTGTCGACCTTATATCGCAGTGGAGCATTTATTTAAATTTTATTTCAACCAAGATCTGTTTTGTTTAAACTCAGTGATGCACATCACTATGAAAACTGGGGGAAGTTGTGTGTTTAAAGAACATAAGACTTCCCGGCAGTTGCTTCAAGCTATTGCAACTGTAAGTTTAGCAAATTCATAGCAATAAGTGTGTCGTTATGCGAGTCATAATTCAGAAGCAGACTGCAGGTAGAGGCTCTCAGATTTAGATTCATGCTAAATAAATGCAGGGGATAGTAATTTCCGGAGTCCTCTACAACAGCGTTCTTCACAATAATATCACGGTTTCGGGATGTAAAAAACCAAATATTGTTACAATTAGAGGGAGATCACTAGAATAATAAATAATACGACCTGCAAAGCACGTCGGCGTTTTACTTCCTCAAGTGCGCAGGTAGTTAGACACATGCACCTTTTCAAAGGGCGCAACAGCCTCTGTTTTGCTAATGTTTTAATAACTTAGTTCATGCTAGTCGTAACAGGCCAGTGCGTGGACGATGCACTTCTTCGTGATGCCTTTGTTGTCAAGCGAAAAAAAAGGAACTTAGACAGCCTTATTGCTTTTCAAAACAAGCAGAAATGTAGTATATACAATGCTACAGTATGGCAAGCTTACTGCGAGCCCCACCGCTGTGGTCTAGTGGCTAAGGTACTCGGCTGCTGACCCGCAGGTCGCGGGATCGAATCCCAGCTGCGGCGGCTGCATTTCCGATGGAGGCAGAAATGTTGTAGTCCCATGGGCTCAGATTCGGGTGCAGGTTAAGAAACCCCAGGTGGTCAAAATTTCGGGAGCCCTCCACTACGGCGTCTCTCATAATCATTAGGTGGTTTTGGGACGCTAAACCCCACATATTTATCAATCAAGCTTATTGCATCGCATAGTATTTCGAGCAGTTTTGTACGTTAGTTAAACAAAAGAATGTTTTCATAACAACATATGGATATTTACGTGTGAGAATCACGATGTATGAATGTGAGGCACACCGTTAAGGGCTCCCTCTGGTGTTCTTACACGTGCTTTGGCATCACACGCTGCAGTACGCAGGTCTCTATTCCATATATCCTCTATCGAAATACGACCGTCGCTGCCGCTATCGAACTCGTGACCTACGGGTCAGCAGACGAGCACTATAACCATTATACCACTGTGGCGGGCGAAAACACTCTTCAAGCTCAGTGAACTGTATTGCATAAAGTATAACGTGTTTTTTCAATCTTTGCTCCTCATATAGGTAACAAAAAATAGATGAAGAAACTATGCACAATGAGAGAAGCAATGGTTTTTTTCTTGTAAAGTGGTATACTTGCCCGTACAAGATTTTATTCACGGATAGCACCAGGTTATGCATACCGCCGTTTATTAGGGCAACTTAGGTCTTCTAACTTAACTAGAACAAGGTCTTCTAACTTGACTAGTATTCTCAGAGTTTACCACAACAAAAAGGAACACTTCAGGTAGTCTACGAAAAAAAAGGCAGGAATAATAGCTTGAGAGACAACCATAACCGGCATCACGGCGGTGCACAATTGTGGTATTGGTAGAAAATGATAGCAGCGTTGCCCTTTAGTGTTCTTGGCTGTCGTTTCACCCGGTGTGCACTGATAGAAGCCGTAATGATCGACCAGCTGCCCCGACAGTACATTTTAAACAACATAAATGACGCGCAAATGTTGAAAGGGAGCAGGTCTCCCTCTGACTCTTTGACCTCTCCTTCGTTTACCTAGTATCTGTCCTGTAAATATAATTTTAAAATTTACTCAACCATTTAGGATTAGTGTTTGGATTCGTATTATTTAAACTGTCCTTTGAGCTATAATAATTTCCTTCTCCATTCGTATGCCGAGGTCGTATGCACGCCAGCAAAAAAAAAAAAAATCTGCATTCCATTGAAGAGCTCCTCCATTTTCATTTCTGTACTCTCTGTGTGCTTCGAATTGTCTATCAAGACTCAAGACTCGGGTTTGTTGTCCTGTGTGCACCATTATTTTTCTTAGTTCGCGTGAAGAACTACTGCGTTGCGATATCGTCGCAATCAACGGATATTTCAACAGCAGACAGATTAGTGGAAGAGAAAATACCAAGAGAAGCCCACAATCGAAGGTCTGACCTATTTAGACATAAACGTCAGCTCAGTGTGAAAATGGCTTTATATACACATTAGTCGAGCGACAAGCAACCGTGAGTAATCTAAATTAACCCGAGACTATTATGCGGCCACCGCTTGGAATCATTGGCGCCTCGTTGGATTGCGTTCCAATATAGTCCAAAGGTACGGTGGATAAATCTTGGTAGTTAGGAACACATAAAAACTTTGTGCATGCGCGTCGAGCAATATTAGTGCCCCTACAACATAGCCCAGCACTAAATTCATGCATTAGCGATAAACTAGTGACAAAGTGGTTATATACCAATTAGGCACATCAGCTTACACACGAGCCTCGTTCACCTACGTTGTTTCCAGGTGTTAAGTAGAACTCCCGACAGGATAACTTAAATAAAGATGAAACTGGAGAAATGTGAAAATATCAACAAAATATAGCATGTAAACAAAGTATCACGGAACGCAGAATTTGTGGCTAGCTCTGATTCTAACGTTCAATCAATTTAGGCGATTATATAGGGTAGTTTCATTACGATACCGTAACCCTTGAGCAACGGCGACATTGCTCAAGAGTGTAGGGGTTAGAATTAAGCCGGCCCACTAATGAAAAGCCCTAAAGAACACCTCTACGCAACCTCTCTGTGCGTAAAACGGCTGTTTCGTCAGCAACGGGGTTGACAATATAGAGATCGCCACGAGACACAGGAAACGCGCACTTGGCCAACACAGTAGCGTGTACAGAAGCGTGTATCCGAACGGAGCAGCAGCAGATACGGACTCACCGCGCTGATCACTGCCGGTTGGCGAGCTGTGCTGTACGACTCCTGTCGATTGCTGCGCTCGCCTTTAAGTAGCAGCGATCCGACGGTGAGAGCACGGGTGAGAGAAACTGCTGGAAGTGGCTGCAGCGGAGTCGTGCATAAATTGGTTAAAAAAAGAGAGAAAGAAGCTGGACTGCAGACTGATGCATGCCAAGGATCTGCGCTGGTAAATGGCGAACCCAATCATCCCTCTCGAGGCGCCGCCATTTAAAGTGAGGCGAGAGATGCGCGCCTCGCCGTAACAGGGCCGCGAGAAGGGAAAGCATGGCTGGTGTTCACGTTAGCAGGACACTCTCACTGAGGCCCAGGGAATGCCGCAGCCAGGCGACCCGACCGGGCGTGACCTTCCGGCGTCTCTCATACACACCTCAGAGGGACGTTTGCTGCTTCTGTTGCGGCCTTTGAGCCTTGCGAAGCCAGCCCGCTATAGTCCACTCCTGTTAATGCAGACACTCTGAGCAGCTGCATAGAATTGCGAACCCGAAGGCAAAGAAGCGTGCAGCCGCTCTACTACGACCCACAAGTCTCCTTCAATTACGGTTATAGTTTCAGACAAGGTCCTTCGCTAATTTATGATGATGCTGAATCGGTCTTGAAGTGACAGGAGCACTGCATAGTTCTCAATTGGCGGGCTTTGTATTGCATAACGTGAATATGTGGTGATCGGCTATTATGAATTTCTACTTGTGGGGTCTCAGAAGCAACGTTTTAGAGAAAATACAAAGTTACTCAAATGTCTCTGATATTACATCGCATCTGCAAAGGTATACTTTTACGAAGCCATGTGCGCCAATTATTTGGGCTTCGCGAATGCACAACCTTTATGTTCGCTTGAACATACTATAAGCAAAAGAAAACTGCCTATAGACAATGTTACAGAGAAATTTGTTTTGATAGACGCTTTATTTAATTGCAGTAGGAACATGAAGTCTATAAAAACTATTCGCTTATTTCTGAATCATAATCCTCAACTTGAATTATTTTATGCTAAGATGGAATGATTGAAAAGCTGTTTCACGGGCATATGATAAAACTTTCACTCGATGATAAAACTTACGAATTTAATGACACGTAAGTGTGAATACCCTTTGAACTTGGACATGAAAATTTTAATCCTATTCCTTAATTTTGTTTACTCATGATAGCGCTTATTTTTTTACGATTGTGGCACATAGTATGGTTATTGTAGCAATAAGGTGTTGAAAAACGAAATTAAGAGAGTTAATAATCTTGTCGATGATAGCTAAGTGGTGATAATAAGCAGCTGTCTGCATAATCTCGAAGCGGCTCTTCGCGGCCCAGGAGGCCCGTCCCGTTTGCCCGTTTCTGCTGACACCAATGAGAAGGTTCAGGGAGACAGCGAAGGGTCTTATTCTATGCGCCGACCCCCGCCGGGGTTGTAAGGCCGCAAGGTGTTGCAGCCGCGATTTCCTAATAACCAGCGTTCGTTAGCCTCCGGTGCGCCGGCTCTGAGGCAAAGGATTGCACGTGCGTACAGCATTCGACCGATTAGTGCTGCGTGATTGACCGGGAGGCGGCCGCCAACCGGTAGTTTTGGGGAACGCTTCTATAGCGGAAATAAAGAAATAGACAGGCTTCACAGCGCTGGAGGAAAGAGGGAGGACCTGTTAGTGAAGAGCTACAGAGAGGAGGACACAAAACAAAACAAGAAGTACTTGAAATCAGACGAGAAGGTAAAAAGAGAAAAAGAACAGATAATATTTCACTCGGGTGTAAATGTCCGTATTTAGCATACAAAATGCCTAGCTGCCTTCCATTGGCAGCGTATCGACAGCTTTGTGATTGCTTAGATTTCAGAAATCCAACAAATCAAACGCATGCGTGTCGGACGTGCGAGGGGTGGTAATGCGCTGTGTAATATTGGCCTAGACGCATCTGTAAAGGTAGACTCGTGATGCACTAGGTCTAATTTCGCCTCTTTATTGAATAGCAAATGAATTCATAAATACTCGTACTTATTGTGCTGAATCACTGCATGCCACTTCTAACACGAAAGTGTTTTTTTTTTTGCCATGGTTCATCAAGACTTCATGGCGTATTTGATTACCTGCTTTTGATAAGAAGGTAATCAACGAAATCTTCTCGTAGTCGAATACATAATGCTGTGAATGACTGCTATTGAAAGACGCCAAGTTGTCATTCGGTTACGCAAGCAAATGACTTTGCTTCAGGCGTTCTCGCGGTGATGTTACGGTGTTTCCTACAGTTGGAAACATGCCTCGGTAGGAGGAATCAGAAGATATCGCAAAGCAATTTAGGAGATACCTACATAAAGCATAGCTTCATGCTATTGCCACTATTTCAAAGGATCTTCCTTTTTTGGGATCAGGAGCTCATTGAAGTAGTTTTGAAAGTCCTCACGTGGAGGCTGCAGCTAAGTTGCGCTGGTTATATTGTGATACTATCTTATCTGTTCCGAAGGCTCCCGTACTGTCCCCAGGCCTTTTTGGCAGTAACCACAAGGTGCGAAAATCAATTAATCTCGTTTAAATTAATATGCGCTACATCTTGAGCCAGGATATCCAGGATATCAGGGAAAGTTTTACCAAAACACTTACAACAAAAATGTCAGTGATTGTTTTGGTCAGCCCACCCTATCCAAGGTGCCCCATTAGCCTTTGTGGCGTTTTAAATATTCTTCGTGCCAAATTATTTGAAACTACGAATACTATAGCTATTCGAAAGTCAAATGGAATAATTTGATCACGTATTATTCAATTAAAAAATAGGTAACTCGAATCATTCGCAAAGCCCCAGTAATCTGATCATCGGCAGAACGCGTCCCGTTAACACATCAAGAATGGTACCTTCCAGCGTAATCGCTCATGCTCACGTAAGCTCCAGAATGAACTAAAGAATTTGCGTACGGTTCGTAATCTTCGTACCAATCGTTTGGTTGTTTTCCCCAAATTCCTGATATCTTCACGAGGGACGCCATAGTAGAGGGCTCTAAAAATGTCTGACCACTCCGTGTTCTTTAACGTCCACTTCAATCTAAATTATTGTGCCTGTAGCATTTGGCTCCATCGAAATGCGAGCGCCGCCACAGTATTTGCGCGCAGTCTTAACAGAACACTCGGAGACAATCTCGAACATTCCAAAACATTGCGGCGCGGCGTGCCCCGAGTGGTGATACGTTTGTGTGTGTGTGTGTGTGTGTGTGTGTGTGTGTGTGCGTGTGTGTGCGTGTGTGTGCGTGCGTGCGTGCGTGCGCGCCAACATGATTGTATCTTCGTCAAATGGTCCTATAGGTGCCGATCACCAACACACATTTTATAAGCTGTCATAAATCAATGCACAATAAACCTTCCACATCTATTAGGTTATGTTTCACTTTTGTGTTACACTAATTACTATAACAAATGGTTCAACGATGCTTTTTTTTTCAAATTGAATATTTTCTTTTTATCGCCCGCAATGACTTTGTTCTGCCTTTTAGGTGTACGTGTTGAAAAGGCTCAAAGGGCTTTCGGTGCTTGTCAGAACACTCTGGAGAAGAGAGTGAGAGGAAATAAACATTTATTTGGACACTAAAAATTCATGATAAGTGAGTGAAGGCACGTACTCCGTGTACCAGATATCCCAGCTTATGCTATGTTTAGTAAATATATTCTATAAATTGCTCGTATAACAGCTCACAACAAGGTGTATGTCCTAATTGACGAATCATTGCAAATGAGAATGATAGCATGAAGGGACAATAAATACATGACATGCACGCATTAGATGAGTACACGAAACGACAAGAATCAAATGACTTTATTTTCGTGACACAGCATGACATTAAGGACATTATTGGCATGAATGGCACGGTAGGCATGTCTTGTGACTGCATAACATTTTTGACGCGACATGTTTGACAGGATGAGGTGACAGTTATGACAGTATGACAAATTACGACGTTTTATGGCATCACAGGTGTGTAATAAACGACGTGCATGCATTACCTGCTAAAAGTGACATAATTGTCATATTATGGCTCACATGAAAGTCTTTATGATTATCGATCATACGGCATTCACGTACTACTTTAACCTGTAGTATACAGTTTCACAGGCCACACTTACTTGCATGATATGACATGATGCACCCCCGTGCAGGACATGAGATGCAGTTCATGCTTATGATGTTCGCTTAAAGCATAGTAAGGACTTGAAGTGTTATGATACAGCGACCACTCAGGAAAGGCAGTGGTTTCGGCTTTGATCCTCAGAATAGGGCGGACTTATCAACTAAGCGGCGTTCTCTCTAAAAAGTGCGCATGCATTTCATTGTAGCTTTATACAGAAAACAGGTGGTTGTCAGTTTTTTTTTCATAACCCTTCCGCCACTTGACGGCATTCCACAGAACTTAACCAACCTTCGGTGCTAAAGCACAAACATGTAGGGTCGCTTCTCTGCAGCAGTTCGGAGTTCTCAGTAAATGCCAGTGGAGCAGTGCGTGAAACGGCTATGCACAACTATGACGCCATTTAAAGCCATGCGTATGTAATAACTAGAGGTTGGATTTATAGGCACTAAAAACAGAGCTTTAGGCGCCAAAAATAGGCGGGCAAAACACTGTTTTAGACGACAGTTATAGCGCGAGAACAAAACGACGACAAAAGAACACGAAGGAGACGTCCCTTTGTCATCGTTTTGTTCTCGCGCTATAACTATTGTCATGTCATACCAACTAGCCCACACCGCCACACTGTTTTAAACTTTAAACACCCAAAATCATTATTATAAGCACAATAAAATTAGACAAAATTCAAATTTTCGAAGAAGTACGTATATTAGATCTGCGCCTACGATAGAAAAGCAAACAGAAATGTTATAGTTTATTATGGAGTCTATGATGGAGTTTATGATAGTGTAAAGGCGGCAGTGGTTTAGCATAGTCATGCTATCCCCCCTCCCCCAGTGTTTGCCGAATATAGTTTGTTCTTTTGTACTTTATCATGGTTAGCTAAGTGTACACTCTCGAATAAACGTGCTCGTGGGTCTCTTTCTTTTCGGTATGACAGGGAAGGGACACCGAAAGAAATAGCCAGAGCACAGATAGGCTGCAAGGTTGTTTTTTTTTGCCTTCTAATAACTTCGTCAAACCGCACCAGGGCAATTTATATTCGGTGTGTGAACACCTTAAAGGGCCCTT